TAATACCTATACGAACCGCTCACGTCTGAGCAAGCTGAGCATTAAGCTGAGGTGAGGAGCCATATGTGGTCCAGGGACTATGTAATGCTACAATTCGAAGGTTATGAAAGTGTGAAAGCGAAGGAACATAAGATCGAACAAACGCACCAAAAACAGCAGAAGATAAGATCAGAATTGTATACAGAAGACGCATCCTTCGTCGATTTCGTGGGAACGTATATCTCGCAAGCTCTAGCTTAAAAAATTGTTATTGATAAATAATTTCACCTATCATATTTACTCATTTGCGCCCAAGCACCTATAATTCTTTTAAACACTTGAGCTGTTTTTTAGGAGGGATTCATTAATGCGGAGGTGTCATATTTGAAAACTTCCAAATTGTAGACAAACCTTCTTGTTTTCAGTAGTGTAGGACTTGTAGCAATGGCTAAGATCTAGAAATCAGCGAAGGTTTTTTCCGCAAAGAGAAATTTATCATAATACCTTATTCTAGAAAACCTTATGTGGTACTAGTCTTTTTTGTTGATAAAAGGAATGAATAAATGACAAATCGGTACTAGTTATACTTAATACTTAGTCCATTGCTAGATGTCGTGGAGGATATGAGATAAGAGCATGGCAGTGGATAACAAGAAATGGGGTCTGCACTGGAGGACCATACGGGACAAAGGTATTTTAGAATGATTTAGTGTTTACAGTTACCTATTGCCGTTAAGGGTACATGCAAACCCTACGCATTCCATCCATGTGGCAAACACAAGAACCAAGTATATTATGGGGAGTGTCCAGCAAAATCTTACTCAACGCCTACGTGTACAAATCGCTGCCAACGAGGTTATTTTGTCCCCTATTGGAAGGATAAGGTGTATGGTATGTTTTGAATAGCAAGATAACGGTTGCCCGAATACATGTTTCGTTTAGCTAAAAGCGCATACTGGCTACCTAAGAACGAAACAGAAATAAGAAAGGAATTGATGACTAATGGACCGGTGCAATCATCCTTTGTTGTTTACTCAAACTTTAGGAATTACACGGGAGGAATTTACAAGGTTTGCATTTCTTGCTATCGTGAAAGAATTGAAAGCAGAAGGAAAACACAAAATGATAGTTACAACTTACTTGATCTCGAGTTGGCTAAGAATAATTCCACTGATACGTGAATCGAAAATCATTGCCAACAAATTGTCAACAAGTTATAGAAAGTAACTGATACTGCGAATCCGCCTATAAGGCAATCATATAGTTGATCGTTAACAAATTCAACTCACTTTTCGAAGTTTCTGCTTTCACGAAGGATGCGATAAATGCAGACGGTGTAGATAAATCAATAGCCTCAAATATTGGCTAGTTGACAGCTGAGCCTAAAAATTTTTCCTTAACTTCAATCTCTTTCTGTAATAATTCAACGTGTGGAGTTGTGCATGTCCTGCACCAAGTAATTTTAGGGTAGTTTAACCTCTTCTCAATCTTTTTAGAAAATTAATTTAATTTTGGCTTCCGAAGCGCTCAGTTAGCAAGCAGAATTTTTTTTT